TTTGGCCAGGTCTGAGTGCAGGTGCGTATCCGAGTGCGTCTGGCCAGGTCTGAGCGCAGGTGCGTATCTGTGAGCATCTGGCCAGGACTGAGCGCAGGTGCGTATCTGTGAGTGTCTGGCCAGGTCCGAGCGCAGGTGCGAATCTGTGAGTGTCTGGTCTGTGTGTGTGATCTCACTTCTAGCCTTCCTGCTCCTCCAGGAGGTTTCCAGTGTCTGAGCGCAGGTGTGTATCTGCGAGCGTCTGGCCAGGTCTAAAACCAGGTGTGTATCAGTGAGCATTTGGCCAGGTCTGAGTGCAGGTGCGAATCTGTGAGTGTCTGGTCTGTGTGTGTGATCTCACTTCTAGCCTTCCTGCTCCTCCAGGAGGTTTCCAGTGTTCACTGGTTCCTTAAATCCCAGTCCTGAACTCTTAATAGAAGCAGTAAGTTACCTTAATTAGGACCCATCAGTTTTTTTAGCTCTGAAACCACGGGGAGATTTTCAAGTTAACTGTAAAAATACAAATTTCATCTTGAAATCTGCAGTGTTCATTTTCTGAAGAGCTGAGTAACAGTCCTGAAAGGTCAGCGCAGTGCAGGTCCAGGGAGATGAAGGGGCTCAGGAGAGGGCCCTGGACAGGGACCAGTGTCTCAGTTCTGCAGGCATCACTGGTGTCTGTGGCCAGGGACTGAAGGTCAGCTTCACTGGACCACGCGCAGAGCCACGAGCCGCCGTGATGAAGTGACTGAGAGCCCTCAAGCAGAAGGCTGTGGAAATGCACTGAGCTGCCCCGTCTTCCTCCCGGGGGGTGGGGCATTTCAAGGAAAAGGGGGCATCATCTGGGGTCTGGAGGAGATTGGGGAAGTCTCCCAGGACTCACGGCAGGTACAGAAGGAGGGGTACAGGGTCATTGCAGTCTCTATCGTCTGGAGAACCTGTTCTTGAAAGCTTTGATAGTTTTGGCCATCATGGGGGCGATCTCTGAAAGACAGACAAGGCAGGAGTGAGTCAGACACATGTCCCCAGCTCTCCCTGCAGAACACACCCAGGTCTGCCTGTCCACTCGTTAATGACCTGATTCACGAGCCCGGAGGAGCCTCGCTCAGCGCTACCTTCCTGCCCAGCCTCATCTGCAAGCACCCCCAAAACTACAGAGACTCCCTTTTCCCTTTTCCTTTTCCTGTGTATTCCCCAAAACAAAACGCGTCCAGTCACCGTTCGGACATCAGCTCTTCCCTCCTGCAAGACCCTGGTACAGTTTGCTCTGGGCAGCACCAGAGACAACAGCCCTGCGGCGGCAGACACTCACTCTTGACCTGGGGCTTGCTGCTGGCGTTGTGGCCCACCACTGCAGATGCACCGCCCCCCGAGGAGGAGCGGGGTACCTCAGGGGGACTACTGTGGGACGAGAACTGGGCTGAGGACTCACTGAACTGGGAGCTGTAGGACTGGGCTGGCCTGATCCTGAGAGAGAGACAGAGGGGTTGA